TCACGAGCCCCAGTCACTGAGTGACAAGAAGACCCCACGGTGGCAATGATGTTAGAACATGATGTTGGTTGGAGAGGAGGATCACAGGGAGTGTGCAGCTTGCTGCTGAGGTGGCTGAAGGTGGCACCAAGGCTCCTCCCTGAGGACTGACCTCATGCTGAGGACACAGCAGAACAGGAAGCAGGTGCAGTAAGAGGACCAGGGTCCCTTTTCAGGGGAAAAAGATGCCTGAGCCTGTGCCACCTTCTCTGTGCCCAAGACACACCCACAGGAGAAGTGTCTTCTAAGGTCTGCTCACTCCTTTACTTTTTGTTCATTTTTGACCACTTCTGAAAAAGCTTCTAAATATTTTAAAGCTTTCTGTTCCATCTGGACCTGTGAGCCTCCCTCAGAGCCCTGTGCATCTCTGTGCCGTTCATGGGCAGTTTTCTCTGCACCAGAAGAAAAATAGCGTTAGACTAAGTACCTGCTCATTGTGTGATGATTCAATCGGTGTAAGTGGCACATCTGCAAACTCAGATGACAGTATTTATTTAGTTGGGAACATTCAAAATCCTGTCATTTGCTATTTTGAAATATATACTTAGTTACTCTTCTCCACAGTCCCACCCTGTGTCTCAGATCACTGGAAGTCATTGCTGTTCTCAGCTGTACCCTGCCCCCACCCACCAGGGCTGAGCTCATCCACAGGCCCTGCCTGTTACTCCAGCCCCTGACCCCTCACAATAGTCACCCAAAGTGGCACCTCACATTCATGTCACTTTGTCAGTCAAGGGGGAAGCCAGAAAGTTGGACCTAACTCTGGGATTAGTGCTTTCTGCCCCACCCCTTCTGATGGCTAGGTTTCTGGGAACAGAGGAGGTCCTGCAGGCAGAGACCCTGGCAGCCCTAGTGGGTGGCATAAGTCGTGGCACTCTGGTGGAGGAGTCTGATGGTGCCTGCCTGTTTCCCAGATACTCGGGAGGCTGAGGCAGGAGGATCAAGAGTTTGTGGGAGGGCCCTTTAGATGTCGCCAGACGCTATAAGTTTGGAAGATACGTGGACAGAGCTTGGAGTTTGGGGAAGGAATCACAGAAGCAGGGAAATGGAGGCCAAAGTCTCATCTCCTCTCAGTGAACTCCACAGCCTATGCTTTGACAGGGAACATGAATGGGAGACACATAGGTCCAGGGACTTCGGGGAGAGTGAGGATGTTGGGGTGCTGTAGGTGCCAACTATGAGAGGGGGCTCACCTTCTGCAGCTCTTCATAACTCAGCAGCAGGACGTTCTCTCTGTCTCTCATGGACATCCAGCCACGAATGTGCTCAAACCATGATCCATAGGGCACTGTGGGGCAGACACAGGGGTGCAGGTTACACACTGCCAAAACAGGGCTGCACCATCCGTGTCACTCTAAACACACTGACAGCTTGATTCACATATTATTGATCAATGCTGCTCAAACTAGGTAATGAAATAGAGAGGGGGATCTTTCCTGAATTCATTCTATGAAACTAGTCGCATTCTGATACCCAACTGGGAAACACAGATCAAGTAAGAAAACAATAGACCAATATTCCTGCTGAACACAGATACAGAACAGCTTATTAAAATAGCAGCAAATCCTATTCAGCCTTAAGATTATACTCAGGACATGCTGTGTTCACACTTTAGGATTATATATCAAGAGATGTTGATTTCAATCCAGGGATGTAAGCTTGGTCAACACAGGCAAATCCATAAGTTTCACCACATCAATAGAATTTGCCTTGACAGAGGAATTTGGCTGAGCATCATGAGGGCTATATGTGACAATCCCCAAGCCAACATCATGCTAATCGGGGAAAATCTGGAAGCATCTCTCCTAACATCAGGAACAAGACAAGGATGTCCACTTTCACCACTGCCTTTCAATAGAGCTCTATAGACTTGAGCCAGAGGTGTTGGCAGAGAAGGGAATCAAAACCTCACCAGTGGGAAAGAAAGAAGTTGCGTGATCACTGTTTGCAGGTGATAGGAGGCTCTGCTGTGAACACCCAAGAACCTTTCCCCCAAAACTCCTAGAACTGATCAATTGAGGAAAATAGCAACATACAAAATCAACATGCAAAAAACAAGCACTTTTCTTCATCACGAGAATGAATCTGCTGAGGAAAAATTCAAGAATGCAATTCCTTTCACAAAGATTGCTACAAATCCCCAGGTAGAGGAATGTGATGGTGCAAACCTGTATCCCAGATACTCAGGAGGCTGAGGTAGGAGGATTGAGAGTTCAAAGCCAGCCTCAGCAACTTAGGGAGGCCCTCTCTATAGATAAAGTATGAAAAGGTTTGGGGATGTAGCTCATTCGTAGAGCACTTGACTAGCACCTGCAGAAACAAGGGTCTAAACCCCAGTGCCAAATAATAATAATAATCATAATCATAATAATAATGCTGAAGCTATCATGTTTTAAATTCGATCCAGTCTCAAATCATACTGAAGAGGTATAGTAACAAAAAAGTGTGCTAATATCAATACGTTCACTTAGATCAGTAGATTAGAAGAGAAGACTCAGAGACAGATCCACACAGATGGAGTCAAATGATCCTCAAGAAAGGCACCAAAAGCAAATGTTGAAGAAAACAATGCCTATTTAATAAATTGTGCTTGGAAAACTGAATATATATGGTTTGAAGGAGGAAGGTAAATCCTGCAGAAAAATCAACTCCAAGTGGATCAAAAACAGGAAGTAGACCATAAACACTGCAACTACTAATTGAAATCATACTGACTATCCTCTGACGTGTAGGTGCAAGCATTACTGGTATAAGACTCCTAGTGTTCAGGAAAGAAAACCAGGAGTTGATAAATGGAGAGGCTCAAGTTAAAAGCTTCCACAATGCAGAACCACTGTGTTTCTGCAACCTGTATACTCAGAAAAATGAGAAGTCATATCCCATCTGATTTAAATGTATGACATGTCAGGTATTGTACTGTCATGTGTAATTAATTTTAAAGAAAAAGGTTATACTCAGCAGAGACTGGACAGAGAGAGAGAGGGCTAACAGAAGGGAGCAAAACCTTTTCCAGCTAATTTTCTGAGAAGATTAACATTCAGATGGTAAAAAGAACTCAAAATAAGGTCATTATTATTATTTATTTATTCTAATTAGTTATACATACAGTAGAATGCATTTTGATTCATTGTACACAAACGGAACACAACTTTTCATTTCCCTGGATTGCATGATGTGGAGGGAGTCGCACTCACACATAGACTTAGAGTAATGATGTCCATCTCAATCCACTGTCTTTCCTGCCCCCATATCTCTTCTTCTGCTTTGCTCAATCAAATTTCCTCTCTTCTTCCCTTGAAAACTGCCCTTGTCCCTTTTGGTTCAGGGTCCACTTATCAAAGAGAATATTTGGCCTTTGTTTTTAGGATTGGCTTACTTTGCATAGCATGATATTCTAAACCTCCATCCATTTACCTGCAAATGCTGTAATTTTATTTTCTCTTAATTCTGAGTAATAGTCCATTGTTTATAAGTGTCACAGCTTCTTTATCCATTCATCTATTGAAGGGCATCTAGGTTGCTTCCAAGTTTAGCTATTGTGAATTGAGCTGGTATAAATACTGGTGTGGCTGTGTCAATATTGTCTGCTGATTTTAAGTCCTTTGGGTAAAGACCAAGGAGTGGAATAGCTGGGTCAAACGTGGTTCCATTCTATGTCTTCTAAGAAATCTCCATACTGCTGTCCAGAGTGGTACTGCCACCAGCAATGTATGAGTGTGCCTTATCCCCTAACCACATCCTTACCACACATCTTGTTGCTTGTATTTTTGAAATTTGCCATTATGACTGGAGTGAGATGAAATCTTAGGGTAGTTTTAATTTGCATTTCTCTGTTAATGGAGATGTTGAACATTTTTATAGGTATTTGTTGATTGATTGTATATCTTCTTCTGACAAGTGCCTGCTCCGTTTCTTAGACCATTTATTGATTGGAATAAGAACAGAAATCTTAACACCAAAAACCAAATAACCAAATCAACTGATGGCAAATCACAATCATTTATCAAAAGAAGAAATACAATGGCCAACAATTTTATGAAAAAAATTTCAACGTCTTTCACAACCAGAGAAAAGCAAATAGAAACTACATGGAGATCGTGTCTCACTCCAGTTACAATGGCAATCATCAAGAACACAAATAGGAATAAACACTGGCAGGGATTGAGTGAAAATGAGCACTTACACAATATTGGGATTGGAGACTAGTACAACACCATGGAAATCAGTCTGAAGTTTCCTCAAAAGACTAGGAATGGAGCCAGCATGTGCCCTAATCATAGAGCTCCTTGGGATTCATCAAAACAAAGTCAGCACACTATAGCAACACATGCCCCCAGGTGGATAGCAGTTCAACTCCCAGCAGCTGAGCTCTGGGACCAACCTTGGTGTCCACTGACTGACGAATGGATACAGAGAATATGGTTCGTACACATAATGGATTTTACTCCGTCATAAAGAAGGACTAAATTATGTCATTTTGAGGAAAATGGATGGAACTGGAGACCAGCATGCTGATTGAAATAAGCCAGACTCACAGAGTCAATGGTTGTCTGCTTTCTCTCATATGTGAAAAGTGTACAGAAGAAGAAGAAAATAGGTAAACCACAAAACAAGAGAAAGACCAGTGGAGTAGAGGACAGAGACCTATATGTGAAGAACACTCACCATTTCCTTCCATGAACCATTGAAAATACTGTTCCAGTGACTCTGATTTCTTAAATAATTTTGTCACATTCCAATGATAATAACCTGACACAAGAACATCTTTGGGATTTCTCATGATATATATCACCTTAAATTAGGGAAAATGAGAAAATGAAAAGTCTCAGTCAGTCATTTCCCACCTTGATCTTGATCTTTCCCTGGGTAGTTCTTCCTTAATCTTTATTAAACATGATGGGTTTGTTTAATAAATTAGTCATAGCGTTCATTCACCAAATATACATATTATTATTATTTTAATTTACATATAACAGCAGAATGCATTACAATTCTTAATTTGTTAGATCTTGCATATCCATGATCTGTACTGATCACCCATCAGCCATGGGGAGGCTGGAGAGGCTGCTGATCACACAGCACAGTGACGTGCAGAGGGCAGGCGTCATTACCTAGCTAGCCACAACTCCTACCAGTCCCCTGGATATGAGCATTCATCAAGGTATGCAGGCTCTGCTCCCCAAATACAGGCAACACTGACTTGGGTGCTTCCTTGTACCCAGCAGGAGGCTGTGATTGAGTGAGAATTGACGGACATCTGTAAGAGGTGTATGCTGGGACACTCTAGTGTAGATGTAGTTATAATTCTGGTTACACATGGAATGTGGTTTTCTAAGATTCTGACTTTAGCCAGTCATATTATCCCTGAATTCAGGTGATGCTAATCTGCAGAATGGTCCACATCCTTGCACGCAAGTGTGGTCTGGTTGTGGCCACATGAACCTAAATAATATCTGGGAATGGCAGTGTCACCAATCTACCCAGTGAGCACTCACCCCAGCAGATCTGCAGGGTTAACCTAGGCACATGGAAGGGGAAAGCAGGGGCTGAACATTAGGCACTGACCTTGGCCTTGGAAGTGAATAGAGACTTGGGGAAGAGATGGAAGGGGAGGTGAGAGGACATGAGCCGTGGGCCTTCTCTCTTATTTATACGTTTGTAACCCCGATATGTCTCTAACCAGGGTGAGCGTTCCCAGATGGGCACAGATCGAATCCACTTGGTATCACCATTGGAATGAATCAAGGAAAGAATTTCAACCAACCAGTGGGTTCCTAGAGAAGGGAGGAAAAGTGATGGTCACTCACTTCATCTGGCTTGTGAACAAAACGTATGATAAAATACATAACATGCACTTTACCATCTGCCCATTTTAAGCATGCCATGGGGTGGTGCTGAGCAGTGTTCAGCATGCTCCTGCTGTTGCTCAGCCGATGTCCAGAAGCTTTTTGTCTTGAAAAACTGAAAGTCTCTGCTCATTAACAACATTTCCCTACTAATTCCATCTTTCAGGACCTGGAACCCACCACGGAACTCTCTGTTTCTGTGAACTTGACTACACTTTGCCCCATGGATTCCTATACTATTTGTCCTTTGTGCCCATCAGACTGCACTTAGCATGAGGCCCAGTATTGACCTATATTGTAGGAGGAGTCAGCCTGTCGTCTTGGTTAAGGCTAAATCTTACTCCGTTGTACCAACTCGCCACATTTTGTTTATTTGTTAAACTACCAGTGAATTTTTGGATGCTTCCAATTCTTGGCTCTTGGCTGAGATCTTTCTAATATGTCCCAACTTTTCTTGACTTTCCAACCTTGTGTCACTTCAAAGGCCATTGGCCCCAGTCCTTGCCCAGTTTGCAGTGCTCCTGCCCCCAGCCCCTCTCCTGTAGGTGCATGACACCTGTCCTTTCAGTCCCTTGAATTTTCCAGGATATTTCTGATTCCCAGGCTCTGTCCATGCTGACCCTCCTGCTCTACAGTACCCCTCCACCACATGACCTCCATTCCGACTTTTCATTCCTATTCAGCTGGTATTTCACCAGTAGGTCTTCACAGGTCACCCTTTTCCACCCCCTTCTCCCGTGCCACCACAAAAATACTCAAATCTGCTTATAATTCACTCCTATATCTCCCTCTCATACCTCAAATGACCCTGCTGAGCACTTAGTCACTCTGTCCTAGTCTGGATGCAAGTGGCCTGGGGCACTGCCCCTTCTTCCCCAAAGCAGGGGTCCCTGGCATGGAGAGGGCAGGCCATCCATCTGCTGAGCAAGAGAGGAACGCAGCCACCGCCTTTCCCATGATGGTCCCTGTCCTGTTTCCTTACCTGATTTGGGGTAGGTCACCAATACTGTGTCTTCATCCTTTATCACAAACTGAGCACACGCTTCTTTCAAAACTTCATAGCTATAATTAAGCAGAGGGAAAGGTAACCCTTCAAACCACAAGTAGCCATCTGTCATGGTGGTGAGCTCTCTGTGCGAGGTGCAGGGGTTCCTGCTGTAGCCACCACTGGATGTTGGGGGAGGTACTGGGAGACTGGACTTTGAAGTAAAGTCAAAAGAATCATTAACTTTTCTGGTTATCAAATTAACTGGGTGATTAAGCAAAATTGTGACTGGTGATCAAAATTTCTTTGCATTCAGCAATTTTAGACTCATTCAGGGAACAAGATCAGGATGTGAGCATGAGTTCCTGGCTGGGACCCCATAGCAAGTGCTGCAAAATAACCCACTGAGGAATGTGTGGGGCCTGAAGAAAGCCTTTTTTGTTGTTTGTATGTGTTTGGAAGAGTTTTCAAAATAGAAATCTTACATGAAATCAATAGATACAGTGAAATAATAATGGCCTGGAAGGACTTTGTGGATCTGTGGATGGAAGACCCTTGACTCTAAAGGACAAGAACCTGCTTCAGAGTCAGCAGACAGAGGGGTGGACTGTCACTGACTCCAGGGTCCAGTCCTCCCTTTCCTCCTGATTAACCTGTGGGAGTGGGTTGCATGGTGTCAGGATTTAGGGACTGAGATGAGAGCATCTTCATATCTACCACATCAAAGATCCATGGAAGCTCTGTTTCATCCTTGGTCGAGCACTCTCAGTGCCTAGGGGACTCAGGGACCAACAGCTCCACATATTCAAGCAACACGCCCATCCAGGGGTCCCATAAATAGCCACCTACTGATTCCAGGAATGCTGAAAGATGCACCTACATTTTTGTCAGTTCCTATGGGCTTCTGTCAGCTACAAGGAAAACCAGCTGATCAATGATGTAAACCCCACATTGAAGGCTACGGGGTTTCATGTCGATGTTGATGATCAGGAACAAAAACACTTTCCACTTTTTCTGCTGATTCCTGGCAGAATCAATAGACTGAGCACTTGTGTGTTCAACTAGGAGCTGTGGACACTGAATCTAGATCTATGTGGCCACAGACTGCTGTGTGCATCCTGGGGAGAATGACCAAGATTCGTGGCATGGGTATTGGTCTGGCTGAAGGCAGAGAGGAACTGAATCAGGCAAAGTTGCAGGGGTACATGTGCTCTGGACAGACAGAACACTGTGCACATCAAGACCAAAGAGCTACCTTTTATAAAAGGGGAAACTCTTTCCTGAGTTTTGTTTCATGACTAGTATTGCCAAGTAATTCTAGAGAGTTATGGCAATCACGTGACCCTGTGAGTGCTCAGTAGTTATGGAGTGGTGACATGTGTCTAAAGCACTGTGCACACTTAATAGGTGTCGCCAGTTGCACTGTCCCACCAATCCCATGAGTTGAATGAGGAAGTGTGGACACCACCCAGGTGACAGAGTAAAATCGTGAGCTTTCTGATGATTTAGTGGTGCACTGTGGTGACACATAATCATTGGCTTCATTTTGACACAATCATATACACATGGGATGTCATTTGCTCCACTTCCGTCCCCAGTGGCTGTGATGTTCCTCCCCCACTTTTCCCTCCTCTATCCGCTAGTATTTATGTACTTATGCTTTATAGAATGCATTAAGGTGGAGCACATTTGCTGTATTTATAATGCCCACTGCATGATTTTGTCCATTCCACTCTCCATTTTCTCACCTTTCCCATTCTTCTCCCCACCCACTCTGCCTCCTTATTCTACACTCATCTTCCCTCTCTCTAACTTTATGATATCAGAGTCCCACCCCCCAGTTTTCCCTCTTACATTGCTCCAGCTTCCACATATGAACAAAGACATTAAACCTTCACTTTCTGAGCTGGCTTATTTTACTCATCATGATGTTCTTCAGTTCCATCTGTTTACCAAAAAATACGATAAGTTCATTCTTCATTATGACTTAGTATTATTCCACTGCACATATATATATACACACACACACACACCACATTTTCTTAATCCACTCATCTTGGTTATTTCCCAAAACTTGGTTCATGTGAGTTATGCTGTTTCATACACTGATGCAGGTGTGACACTACAATATTCTGACTTGGTATATTGCGAAGGAGTGGGATTGCTGGGTCATATGGGAATTCCATTCCTAGTCTTTGGGGTAATCTCCATAGTTCTTTCCTGAGTGATTGTTCTAATTTGCAGTTCTACCCACCATGTGTGAGTGTGCCCTTTCCCCTACAACCTCCCAAGCATTTATTCTTTGTGTTCTTCATGGTTGATATTCTGAGTGGAATGAGATGACATTTCAATGTAGTTTTGATTTTCATTTCTGTGATTGCTAGGGACGTTGAAATTTATACACACACACACACACACACACACACACACATATCTATCTGTTGTCCACTTGTATTTGCTACTCTCAGAAGTGTCTGTTCATGTCTTTTGGTAAAATGGTTGCTATTGGGGAGTGGGCTCATGTGTCAGGAATGGTGACACTTACACATTGTTCCTCTGAAGCAGTGGGCCAAAGACCTAGAGTAAGACCAGAAACTTTATAACTGCTATGAAAATCAGAGGGTCAAGTCTCCAACATAGAGTCACAGGCTTCCTCCAAAGACTCCTGAAATGTATGAAATGAAACAAATAATTAGCAAATGGAAAGACATCAAATTGAAAGAGTTCTGCACAGCCAAAGAAGCAAGTATGTGAAGAAAGATGCTAAAGAATGGGAGAGAATATTCTTCAGCTACCCTTCTGACAGAATGTAGAAAGAACTCAAAGAAACTAATCTCCAAAAACCTGAATACACCAGGCAATAATTGGGTAAATGAACTAAACAGACATCTTCCAAAAAAAGAAATGCAGATAGTCAACCAATGTATCAAACAATGTTCAAACCTAGGAAATCAGGGAAATGTAAATCAAAACTGCAAATAGATTTTATCTCACTCTAATTAGATATCAAGAATGAAGACTAATAATAAATTCAGTGAGGGCCCGGGAGAAAGGAGCACCTTTGCACTGTTGATGGAATTATCAATCAGCACAACCACTATGGAGCTAGTAATGGAGATTATTCAAAGTTAGGAATGGGGCCACCACGTGCCCCAGCTCTGTCACATCCTGGTATTTACTCAAAAGAATTCCAGTCAGCCTAGTAAAGAGCAGTACATGCACCCCCTGGTTATGCCAGTGACACTTAACCAAGTTAAGGGAAACAACGTGTCAAATGATGAGTGAATACAAAATGTGGCATATATATATATACCAGGAAGCTTTATTCAGCCATAAAAAATTACAAAATTATGTCATTTGCAGACAAGTGAATTCAAGTGGAGAGCATCTTGTTATGTGAGATAAGTAAGACTCAGAAGGTCAATGACTGTACATTTTATCTCATATGCAGAAGCTGGAAAGTAAAAAGGAAATAGACGAGACATTGAAGTCTTAAAAATGAACCAGGGGAGGGATGAAGGAGGGAAGGGGAAGGGGCAGGGTGTGTCCAGCAGTGAAACAGACATGATTACGCTGTGTGCATGATGTGTGCCACCACGAACTCATCTCTTCCTGTGATCATCATGCACCAATATCATAGTAATGTAAAAAGGAAATGGAATCTTACTGAAGGTCATCACCCCACCAAGTGGCAGAGCTGCACTTGGTTCCCATCTTCCATAGGAAACAATGAATCACAGCTCAGTGAAAACTTCCATTGATTCTCCCAGAGATGGAGGGAGCAGTGGGTCAGTTTTTATCTATTACAGAAGTGAAGATGTTGTTCCCAGTTTGCATTTAGAACATGGTGCATTGAAGCTGTCAATGTAGTGGAGACATGTGAGCATCGTCATCAGGTAGCAGGGTGGTTTGGCAATGTTAACCACAAGTGCTGAGCATGTGGTTCCATTGATGTCTTGCTAGAGTGGAGCACCCCATCCTATGGGTATTCTTGTCAGGCCTGAAGGAATGTGGATCCCTCAAGCACTCCAAGCTGCTCATAGCTGCTATTTGCAACTGAAGGCAATTCCACCATTTCCTCCACTTTTATTAAATTTGTTGCCAAAGCAGAACATTGAAGAGAGAACAAAGTAAAAGGGAAAAGCATAGGAAAAAAATGCGAAGGACCAAGATGGAGAAAGGCATTCAGACATGGTCCATTCCAAGGTGCCAATCCTGGAGATCCTTCTGTGCTAATGGGCACCTTAGCTAAATTCTCCCATTTTTATCTGTGATAGGGGTTGTTTGATACCTGTGTTTCATAGATGCACAGCACAGAAGGAACATAGGTATTCAACATGATGGGTGTGTGTTTATTTTTGTTGTGATGTTCATGGGGACTGACTCGGGGCATCATGTGAGGTAGGCAAGAGCTCTACCCCTGCATTACATCCCAAGCACTGAGTATTCCATATTTTGAGAGGGAGTCTTACAAACTGCCCAGAGTGACCTCTAAAATGCAATTCACCTGCCTCAGTCATATAGTAGCTAGGGCCCAGGCCTGAACCCCACCCTGTTGAGGGCCACAACCAAGTTAAGATGGCGCCTGGCAGTTTGCCAGGAGGAGTGGTTTATGAGCCAATGCCACTGAGCCATTAAGATGGTGGAGATTCCTTATTGGCTGATTGCTGTATCTAGATGATGCTAATTGAATCAAGCTGTGTGTAATCAGTTAGGTATATATACCTCTGCTGTCTCGCAATAAAGCGGCTCTCTGTACCTTGATTGCCCGCTCAGTTCCCACTGAGTTTTCCTGCAATAAAGCAGTTCCTGCTTCAACCTTCAAGTTGCTTGTCACCTCCCGGTTATTTGGCCCAGCCAGACTGCGGCATTTGGTGGCCCATATGGGGAGCTACAGAATGCTTCAGAGTAAGTGACATGGTAAATTGCTTGCCCCTGAGAGGATGGGTGACCATTTCAAGAAACAGTGTGTTCTTGTTTCTTTTCATTTCATTTCATTTTTAAGCTGCCTGTCCCGAGAAATAAATAGGACGGGAGAAAAGCTGTTTGCCCCTGAGGAAGGTGTGCATGTGGCCACACCCTGGGGGATGCATGCCCCATCAGCGAGCCTCGGGATGCCGTGGTATCATCCATCGTTTCACGCGCCCCGT